GCAAAACATTACTTTATCGTTGAAACATTCTCTAACTCAACTTGCATAAAATGGTGCTGTACCCTCAAGACCCATCCCACCCTGGTCGCACCACTCCCTATCAAGGTCACCCTGCTTCATGTTTCTCCAAAGCTTGTGTCATCATCTAAAACAGAATAACTTATACATGCTTCAAGGGCAAGGGCTTTGCTTTCTTTGCTGTGATATTTCTGGGACCTTAAATACTAGTTGACACATAGTAGATATTCAAGACATGCTGTTTTTGGAATACATGAGCAGATGATAGCAATATTTTCATGCAGGTAAAGTATAAACAAAGAAAACTATGAACCCATTTGTACAAGTCAAAGATGCAGATTCCTTAAAACCCTAGATCTACAGGCTGGTTTTCTGAAACATTCTTCCCTAACAACTCTGACACAAATGGAAGTATTATCTCCCTCCTCCTCATTTCTCTAAATAGTCGTAAACACTCCCTAACAGGTGAGAAATACAATACTTATGATAGAGTCATAGGTAATAAATTAACATTAGCCTGGTAAAATAGTTAGATATGTGTATCATTCTGGTTGTTACACACAGACTTACACTATCCAAGAGTGGGGAATGTGCAAGCCAATTGGATTCTCAGGTCTAGGCTTTGGTCAAGCGATTGTTACAGGCTGCTGTGGTTACTTCCTCAGAGACATCCCAAGGCCAAGACAAGAGTGTGGCCTGAACCCCTTACTCTTTCTGAGGACATGTTTTGGATATGGTTACCTGATGTACACTGTGCCATCCCTCCTACATGATTCTAGCATCCTTTGGCCACATACAATTTGGCTGACATTTGTCAATTTTTTAAAAAAATTATTTCATACCCATTTTCTTCAGCTTGTGACCTCTTTCCCACCGCATAGATTCTCAATGGGAGGAGAGTTCCAGGGCAAGTCCTCCCATGCAAAGCCTAGGAGTAGCCCTTCCCTTCTCCTAGAGAGCAGGCTCATGACCTGAGAAAGCTTGAGGAATCCTACAGTTGGGATGAGGGAGAGATGAATAGGAATGACCGTAAGTCACTTGTCCTTGGCAATCCCATATCAATGCCCTGTTCCTGCTAGGACACCATGGATGAAATTCCTACTTTATAATCTGCATAGATCCTCTGCTTCTAGCTTTTTTCCAGACTGGTCCTCAGGACTTGTGTTGGTTCTAAGAACTCCTGATATCTTTTCATATCGTCCTTTGTGTGTGAGTTAGTTATTTGTGTTTGTCTCTTAATAGATGCACACTCTGACTGCAGTGAGGACACTCTAGCGTTTTGCTCCAGGCTTTAGTGGGAAAAGGCTTTGGACAATAAGGAACAAATAGAATCATTCATAATCGAGGGAAAAGAATAAGGACAAAATACTCTATTTGGCTTTTTTTTTTTAACAACATTTGTTTTAGTTTTCTACTGCTTCATAACAAATTACCATAAATACAGTGGTTTAAAAAAACATCCATGCATTATCTCAGTGCCTCCTTAGGTTAAAAGGTTGGGTAAGGCTGGGTAGCTGGATTCTCTGCACAAGGACTCAAAAGGATGAAAGCAAGGTGTTAGCCGGGATTGCTGTATCAGGTGAAACTCAAGAACCCTTTCTAAGGTCACTGGTGGATGAAAGGGTGTGTGTTTTTAGAGAGGCAGGACTGAGCTCTCCATGTCCTTGCTAGCTGTTGATGGGTAACCAGTCTCGGCTACTAGAGCTGTCCTTAGGCACTTGCTGTGTAGGTTCTGTGCCTATGCAAGGCGGACCTCCACTGGGACCCTCACAACAGTTTGCTTCTGACAGCCCAACAGGACACATCTTCTGTGGCTTTGAATCTTTGATTTCTTCTCTGGCTCCCGGAGCCTCTTTCCAAGGGCTCTCCTCAATAAGTTAGACCCAGCCACAGTCCAGGAGAAGTGCCCCATAGGGCATATATACCACCTGGGATCTTGCAAGGAGGGATCTTGGACAGCATATCTTTGAGGATGCCACACGGAGAAGTATAGAGCTGGGCTCAAAATTATCATGTTTTTAAAGGTGGAAAGTGCAGGACAGCTGGCCAACACCCATAGACAGAGCTATTGTTCTCCTGGGCCTCGCTGGAGAGCAACAGATTTGAGTGTCAATGTGGGAGTTTACTGATATTTTAAAACAGTCGATAACAGTGTTAAATAGGTGCTTTTCTTAAAATTAAGGACACATTCCTTTGTGCAGTTTGGGGTGTTGTCTTTTTTTTTTAAATGGCATAGCCTTTAAAAGCTACATTTTGATTAAGAGACTCACAAAACAAAGTTCCTCTACTCAGAAAGAATTTACTCTCCAGTCATCTAAGCCAGTTATTGCAACCCTCACCCATCTGAAAAAGGGATCATTCTCCAACGCCCATTTGGCAAAATTGAAGCAAACTGTGATAAAACAGTGTCACAGGATCCATGACACCTGCTTTAAAAATAAATCTCCTGGCTTTGTCTTTTCCTTTATTTTCAATAAATGCTCCAGTATTATTGCCACTGCATTAATCTAGCAGCAGGAAACCATTATCCTATGACAACAGTCTCTCCCATTAACATTATCTTTTAATTTTAAGATTGTTTAGATGACTGCTAGAAGCTACTAAATTAAGATAAAATGAAGAAAGAATTATTTTGTTTAAGGCAAGTGTTCAGTCAAGTTACTGTCTCCAATTTTGACTGCTCTAGTAGAAAACACTATTATTTTTTGTATCTGATTACAAAATACGATTTGGATATAAGTTAAAATTTCCAGAAATCAAAACACGCTTTAAATGTCATCTAGGAAATAACTATTAAATTTTAAATTATTATTTATGTTGCTTGCTGTATTACATAGTTATATTAAGAGTTGAAAGTACTGTTATTTTTCTAGGAAACAATTGTTGTAGTAAATAAAACAATAATGAAATCACAATGATGAAAACTCAGTAAAGGAAAGAAGGAACCATTTGTCTAGTCAAGTTTATCCTGAGAAATAATTGAATTTAGAGAATGCGGCAAAAATGCGACACAATAAAAATAAACACAAAACTAAAAAGAAGTTGTGATTATTGGTAATTATTATTCAATGTTCTGACAAAGTTTAAAGTGACATATTAAACAGTATCTTTAAATTTTATACTGAATGTATTACAAGCTTTGTTTTTTCAAATAATGAAGTTTCAAATAATCAACTGTCCGTTATTTTAAAAATTCTTTTATTCTATCAGTTGTATCTGAACACTGGAAGAGACTCTAAAATCTTTCAGTATTTGTTTACTCTGCCTTCTTGTGTTCTAATGGTCTCAAGGCTTCCTTTTTAAAAGGGAGAGACTGAAATTACTGTAAATGAAGATGATATCTAAGTAATTATTGCAGTAGTGATATTGTACATTTAATATTTGAGATCTGTGATTCCCAGCTTTCATGAGTAAACCACACAGGAAAATTAGCAGAAACTGAGTTACTGTTTTAATCTTTTTGGGGAAAAAATGCTTTTGTTGTGAATTACGTTATACTGTTAATGTAGTTCAAGTAGGCCATCAATATGTGTCCTATTTACTGATAGGTGCAAAATAGGTGTGGGAGATCAATCAAAACCCCCTTTCATAAATTATCATGACTTCTAGAAATTATCAAAACTTCAGTGGGGCGTCATACATAGTCTTCCCAGCAATGAGTTATAGTCAATAATTCATTCCCTGACGGAGCTGATAACAGGCAGATATTCTAATAATGTGGTAGGATTTACTACTGGACACAAGCAGTACGTAGGAATTTCAATGCAGTGTTAAATGTTGTCTCAGTGGAGAAAAGTAATAAAAACAGGACAGAGAGAGGCATCTGGGTACACTGCTTGGATGTTTTAACTCTCTAATTAGCACAAGCATGTATAAAGGTAGTGTTGTGTAAGTTTTCATTCTTGTTTTTGAAGCCAATTGTTTCCAGAGTATTGTTCTGTAATGACTTCTCCTGGCCTTATTGTTAGAGAGCACAGCAGATGGCTCTGAAAAAAAGCTGAAAATAAAGTCTATTTCATTCTTCAGTTGTTCTCCCAAATTTGAAAATAGCTTCACTTGAATATTTTTCCTTTTAAAGGAAACTTCCCTGCCTAAAACATCATCATCTTAGACTAAAGGTCTTAAATATATTTTCAGTGATTTCTTATCATACAGAGAAATCGACAAATTTGCTTTCTCTGTCAGAATGTTTTGAAGCTGGAAAAGAAGTGGTGATTCATCAAAAACAATTTTATTATGAAATTTGATTTATGTTGAGAAATATAAATGATGACGTTATAATGTGTACCTCTGTGTGGAGGGAACACATTTTAGTCAATTGAGTTATCCAATTTTATTATTTTAAAAAATCCATATCTGGTTGTTCTTTTTATTCAAAAAAATTTATGGTGCTGTACAGAGCAGAACCGTGTGTTTTTCAAGTATATGGACAGCTATGGATTGTACTCCCCTAATTCCAGCAGGGTCATTCATTTCAATTGGATGAATAAATATTATCATATTTTCATCAACTTCTCTGTGGGCAGAGAAGAACTAGTGTTATACTTTAAAACACATTTTATCGCAAACCTACATAGAGAAAAGGCATAATTATCAATACTATAGTTAACAATAGTTGTGGTTTGGGGCTCTAAAAATTTATGAATTATTAGTCTTTGCTTTACCAAGAGCAGTTAGATGCAACCTAAGGAAGAATGATTTATGTGTTAATGCCTCAGTTTCTCTATCAATAGCGCTCATTTTGTTAGTCTTTAAGGAGAGGAACAGTAATTAAGTTGAAATGGAATAGCTACCTTCTACTGAATTTATAATTTTAACATCTATTCTTAGTAATAACTACCTCAGTCATCTATATATTCTCTTTTGTAACTATAAAAAATTAAATTTATCCATGCCAAGATTTAACTCAACTTTAGTAAGCATTGCTTGTTGATCCTTTAGGCTGATAAATACATAATAATTACACATGTACAGGATACTCTGATAATTTATTTGCAATGACGTTTACAAAATATTATTTGTACTTGAATATTGTTGACAGAATTCAGTCCTAGAGGGGGTGGGGAAAGCTCAGTGGCACAAGCGCCTGCCTTGCAAGCACGAGGTCGTGAGTTCGATCCCTGGTACCGGGAAAAAAAAAAAAAAGAATTCAGTCCTAGAAGTAAGTAGTGTAAGAAGCCAAATAATTTTTCCTAATAAAATCCTTATAAAGAAAACGATCATTTCTTACCATTATATAAAAGTTACCTTGCTTGTTTACACTGGGTCACGGATATGTTTACCTCTTTCACATTTTTGTTTTTCCTTTCTTATTATCTAACATCCTAATGGAACAGAATAACTAAAATCAAACTTTGTATTTTAAATGATATTTTCAATTATAATAAATATCAATAGTGTTTTTTCCTATTATCCATTTCATTTTAATAAAATGAATTTCTTTATTATGATTTGTACATTACCCTCCAAAATAGGAGTTAGAACTTCCTAAATACTGGCTAACTTACATTGGTGAGGTATTTATCAGTCATAATCATTGGGATTTTTGTATTTTAAGTTAAAGAATGTTTCAATAAGGCAACTGCCTATCCTTTTATCACATGAAACATTTAGTGAGATATATCTAAGGGATTTTAGAAATACTAAAAAAGGTAGTCAGTAAATCTAAAGTATGTGATCGATGCTTTGCAGCCAATATACGGTCTCTTGAGATGTCATCTTTTAAAGATATTGAGCTGGAGACCAGGCCTATTCTTAAATGCTACACCTTCCCAGTGAACCTTCTTACTCTCTCTCCCCAGCCAACAACTCTAACACAAAACAATAGCACAGGAGCCAGCTGCTCTTCCTCTCCCTTAGGCTTCCTCTGTTGGTAACTATCACTGTCTCTCCTGTCCACGTTTTTTACACCATCATATTGTCCCAAACTGAAGCTTTTTAGATTCACTTAGAAGAACTTTTTGATTTCAGGGGATCTTTTTGATGGCAGCAATAAAGATGGGCAGATTTTTTTTAAAAGTGTCCTTCCTAAAAAGGCTTCCTTCAAAAACCTTTTTGCATTGACTTTAAAAGGATAAAACATTTTTTCCTGGGAAAGAGCTGGGGCGCTTGTCGGCACAGGTCTGTGTAGAACCTAAGGCTGTTCAAAGGAAATTTTTAGAGAACCGTCACTTGGAGATCACAACAGTGACCGTGACTGAACAACTTGAATGAGCAGAAGGGAAGGTATGGACAAATAATCTGGGGGCAAGTGGGAGGAATGAGGGTTTGACCCGATCAATATGGTTCCTACTTTTAGTCAAAATTCAAGAAAGAAGCCATTTGAGTTTCTCCATTTTCCAAAATACTGCGCTTTTGTTTTTCATTCACCTTTTAAATGAGTAGACTGAATGACGACTATGTGACATCAGCAGAGCTTCCTCATACTCCTAGCCAAAATACATCATTTTGAGCATGGCAATTTTGTATTTTACACCAAGATTAGTACTCGGAGCACATTTGTTTATATTTGTTTGAAGAATAGTGTGATACCAAACTCCTTTACCCATAATGAAATTGTTTTTACAGTTTTTGTGTTTTGGATCAGTGGAAACAAAAGATCCACACTGCTACATCACTCAGGCAGTCACTTTGAGATCACAAGTCTTGCTATCCAGATGAGGAAGGACGGCTGAATGCAAACAGTGCAGAAATAAAGATTACCCAGAGGTGGCGCTGTGGTTAAAGTACACCTGAATTTTGATTACACTGAATGAATTTACTCCCTACCTCTCAGAAGAGAGATGTTAGCCATTATCACTTTTATATTTCTAAAACCACAACATTAGCAAATAAAGCTCTCTGGTAATACATTCCCACCCATGCTAATCTACAGAGACAAGTGTAAAGACCTTACGCCACTCATGATTATAGCCAGAGCATTGAAACCACCTCCTAAAGTTTAGGCCTGCTTTACCCTAGAGATCTATGTTAAAAGTATTATTCATTCTTCTCTCTCTTCTTTCACATTAAAAATACCTGGATCCTTTGGGTAATCATGCAGTGACATCCGAGTACGTTCCTGGCTAAATTTCTAACATTTTAGAATTATAATTTCATTTTAGTGTACATACTTTAGAAAATAACAGTCTATCATAGATCCATGTGTTATTTAAGAAAACTCATTGTTAAAAAGGAAAAATAAAGAGATGAGAAAAGTAAAGCCCAGAGAAGGACATCTACTTGTGCATGACATGTTTTAATGGAATTGTAGTCCACTAAGATTGTGTCGTTCATTTTATTACAAATTATAAATTATCTGAAAATGAACCCAAAGAAGTAAAGTGCAGTATTTGTTTATGGGTTGCTTTTCTTATTTGGTTTGAGTTGTGACTTTCAAGAAGGATTGCATCTTGCAGGTGGCCTTTCTTTAATCATGCCTATCTAAGGCTATTTTCTGTACAGGGTATTTTAATTACTATTATAGTATTAATGATTTTTTACAAAATGTTTTTCATATGTGCACAAGATGAATTGACATTGCAATTTTAAATACAAATCAATAAAATTAATTCATTTGACTTTAACACAGTAGGAATGTAAGGCACTTGAATAAAGGAATATTTTAATTGGTATTTAAAATGTTCTCTGCCTGGTTTTATAAGCAATAGTTATTCTTTCTTTTGCAGCCCTAATTGTGATGAGTTACAGGACAGAAACCTCCACACACTGAAACCATAGATGTCCAACATCTGCATTGTCTTGCTAGATTTTTCTTCAAGTTCCTTTCCTCAATCTAGCAGTATCCTGTGTAACACAATATGAAAACTTGTCCCACAAGGCTGTTTTTTTTTTTTTTAACCTAATGATTCTTAGCCGAAAGGCTTTCCATTTTCATGATAATGTCTAACAGAAAAATCTCTCTGGAAGTTACTAATAATAATCAGACCTAATATTAGCTCAGATTCGAGATTTACTAAATCTAGTTGGCAGAATAAAGTTGAACTGCTAGGTATTCAAACATCTAGGCTGAGTTTGGGCCCTAAAAGAGTCTCTCCAGCCAGCACCCTAAAAGCACTCAACTCGTGATTTGTACTAGAAATGACATTTCTTGCTCTCCAGAGGCTAAGAGATTGCAAGTCGTGCATTTTACTTCCTTCCATGGCTTTTGGAGGGTACCAGAAACTCAGCACTCCTCCTCAACCGTGGGTGAGACAGTTGAGCAGTGCCTTGTCCCTTAAGATTTTGTTGTTGTTAACTTTGAAAATAAGACTGGTGAACCCTTTATCACCCGCAAGTAACAAGTATGTATGAAACGCCTACTCAATTCTTGGTTAATACTCGGGATACGGGGAGGAAAAGGAGGGTAAGCAGGAACACTAGGGTGGGAACTACTACTTCCCTTACCGTCTTTTTTTCTCGCGGAGTAAACTTTCACTAAGGTTCATAAATCTCCAACATCGTGAATTGAAACAAAAACACCTCTCGTGCATGTGCGTGCGCGCCTGTTAAAGTCCACCACCCTGATTCTTCCCAAACAGGAAGAGGTGAAGTTCCCTAAGGGTCTCAGCGAAGGGAGCCTGTCCCAAGGGGCCAGCGGGCGCCAGTCCCCGCCGCCGATGAGGCAGGACGTCCGGGAGCTTCGGTTGTGATCGCGGGTCGCGGGGGCCGCTCCGGGCGGGTCCCGGGCGCCGGGGTCCCCGCTCCCCACCTGCCTCGGGCCCTTCCCCGCGCCTCCCTCTGCCCGCTCCGCCGCCTCGCTCGCTCCCCCGCCCCCCGAGTCTCGTTTCAGTCATCCCTTTGTCCTTCCCCGGATTGGCAGGTTTTATTATTCCGCCTGAACAATCCGGCCGCCCAGTGGCTGAGGGTCGCTGACGTCGGCGGCAGAGCCGGGGAGTAGTTGGGATTTTGCTCTGTCAGTAACACATGTGTACGAGCCGCCGAGGGAGCGAGCGAGCCGGCTAAAGGCCAGCGCCGCCGCCTCCGAGCCGGGCAGCTGCAGCCCGGCCGCGGCGCAGGCTGCAGGAGCGCGTGGGCCCGGCCGGCCGAAGCCCCGACTCCCGGGCGAGCCCGCTGCCGGCCTCGGCACGGGCCCCGCCGCTCCCGGGCTGTTTGTGCAGCCGCTCCCGGCCGGAGGCGCCGGGAGCCGGGCCGAGCCGCCGGCGGAGCAGGGCGAGCGAGCGCGCGGGAGGGAGGAAGGCGGCGGCGGCGGCAGCGGAGGAGGAGGAGCGGGAGGAGCGCGCGGGGGCGGGGGCCGCCGGGCGGGGGCAGATCCAAAGTGAAGCCACATTGCCAAACTTGCAGCAGCGATTGCAGCAGTTGCTGCCGCTGCGCCGCGCCTGAAGCCGCGCCGGGCGGGCCGAGGGCTCCTGCAGCTGCTCGCGCGCAGCCAGAGGCGGAGGACAGGACGAGGACTGAGACTGACACTTCTGCTCCCGGCCGCCTGCCACTTACGCGGGGGCCCCAACCCGCCCCAGAGCCACACGATTAAAAAAAAAAAAAAAAAAAAAGCAGCCTTTAGCCCCCTCCTCCCCTTTCCTGCTTCTGCGAGAACTCCCTCCCTCCTTCCAGCTCCGCCAGCCGAGGCGCCCCTTCCCTGGAAGCCGAGCGGCTGCACTCGCATTCGCCTTCGCTGCCGCCTCACAGTATTGCAATATAGGGGAGAAGCAGGTAAGGGGGCGGCGGAGGAGCCGCGGGCCGGGCTTGGGGAGCGGAAGGGAGCGGGGCCGTTGGGGGGCCGGGGCTGTTTCCTTAGGCTTCTTTTCCTTGACCGTCCCAAATTGCAAGTAAACAATACGTCGCCTTTAGATAATGCGAGAGTCTGAAACTACCGAGGCTGGCCTGCGAGCTAGCGAGGAGAGCAGCCCCGGGCCGCCAGCTTTGTAGCGGTTCCTGCTTACAAAAGGGATCTTGGATACCGGGTTGGTGGGGACCCCTGAGTGGGTGGGGGACATTTCCAGTTCGTAAGGGAGAGGCAGGGGCTGCTTGGAGAAGGATTTTAGTGTGAGAAGTAGTATGTGCGGGGTGGGGGAACAGTCACGACCCCCCAACCTCCTTAAACTCTATTTTTGAAATAGTGGCGGAAAGGATATAAGTAGCCAGGATTCGGTATTCTGGTTCTTTTTAAAAAAAAATTCCTCTTGGCTTGTATGTCTTTTGTTCCAATCCAGGAGAAACCCGGTGAATCACCTAATTAAAATCAAGACATGAATTAAGCATCCATTTTTGTACTACAAATTGCCAGCGCTACGTTTGTCCCTCCCTTGGTCTCCATTAAAAAACACCAGAGACGTTGTTAAAGGGGGGCAGATTTTGCCTCTAGCTGCCACTTCTGCTTTCTATTTCACTGACTATCCCAGGACCTAAATTGCTTGGCTATGTAATTACTAGAGTATAAGCCTATTTAACTTAAAAGCTTTCTTTTTTTTTTTTCCAACTCTAAATGAAACTTGATGAGGGCCCGTCCTTAGTTATCAGGGGAGTCAGTTTCTGGTCAGTCCTCTTGATTCATCTCTTTTAGATTTAATCAGCATTAAGGTATTGCTTGTCCTTAAGAGCTTTAGCTAATGGGGTTACTGGATGCTTTTCTCAGTGTAATGTTTCCTTTTCAAAAAAATATACATATATATTTACCTCTCACCAAAGATGGGGGCGGGGGACCAGCTAGGAATCTCCTCCCCTCTCTCTTTTAAAAAGGAATTCGGAGCGATTAAAAGGTTGTGTGTGTGTGTGTGTGTGTGTGTGTGTGTGTCGTGTGTGTGTCTGGGGGGGGGCAATTTAAAGACCTCGGGCAGGAAATGCAGATTCATTTGGGTTAGGGCTGAAATTGTAACAAAAAGCAATTCCTCGAGTAAATGCATCAGATAAATCAATTTACATAAAGGTATGATGCATTCGGATAAATGCAATGCTAATGGGTTTTAGAGTGGTCCTGTTTCCAAAGTCTCAGGGTTTTGTTACAGCTTAATTGGTGCAGTTCTTTTCTGGTTTATTGTGCGGTCACTGGACACACGTTCCGGGACTCTTTCGGAGGAAATGTGTTTAAAATCAGCCTATTTAAGGAACCTGAGTCCTCGCTTCGTTCCCTCACTCTCGTTCCTTTGCAGCAGCCAAGTTGGGCTGGGGACAGGCAAAGTTCGTCCTCTCCCTTCTGAGGTATCAGCTGAATGTCTTCAGTAGATAGCCAGAAGCCTGGGGGGAGCCCACACTCTCGGCTTACCGAAGACAAAGACAAAACAGGCTGCTTAATTGGCAGTAAATAACTTGATCTTTTTATAGAATAAGTGACTAGAGGAACACTAGGACTTTATTGGACTCAGAATTGGAGGCAACAAATTAATCGGTTTAGGCTAAGCTTTATAAATTGATTCCTATATTATACCCAGTTGCTTCTCTTGTGGCATTCATTAGAAAAGAGTGGAGAGTGTTTCAAAGCAGTTTTTGGTGACCACAGGCAGGGCTGGCTGGAATTTAACTTGTGCATCTCTTAAGAGTGCCTTCTCGCATATTATCTATAGCCTCCCCCACCCCAGCCCCCTTTGGAGTAACAAAGCTTTAGCATTTAAATTGCTGATCAAGGGCAGATTAGTGAGACCAAAGTGGAGAGTGTTTGTATAGGAAGTTAGCAGGCATCCTAAAGTTCAATGATCTATTATGCCTGCCTGTATCCTGAAAACCCAGAGAAAACACTCATTGATCTTCAAAATGAAATGAGATTTGGAACAATAATGGGAGATGGCGGTCAGCACAATGGCATGTGAAAGGTGCTGTTTTAAAATACGAAAAACCAGTTTCACAACTTTCCACACTGCACCCCCCTCCTCGCGCCACCTTGCCTTCCCTCCCACCACCACCACCGCGCTCTCTGTCTCCCCTCGGCGGATCCCTCCCTCCCGTCTTCTCTTTACGAAAACCCAACTGTTTCCAACTTGCGAACCCCTGCTGCACTTCCCAGGGCAGAGCTCGGGAGGGAGCGTGGCGGACCGGCCGCCTGCCCACTCCCTCGGCGGGCTCCGGCCGCAGCGCGGGCCGGGGAGGGGCGGGGTGCGGCGGTGGGTGGGTTTGACCCTCATTTGCTGCAGGCTGCCGCGGGGAGGGGGCGGGGAAGAGGAGGGGCGGGGTGCGGGGCGCCGCGGAGGGAGGAGCGCGCCGCCCAGCCTCGCTCTGGCTCGCGGAGTTTTGACAGTACCGGAGCTGAAATTGTCAGCGGCGGCGAGCGCAGGAAAGTTGAGAGGAGCTCGTGGCCCCAGAACAAAGCTTGAGAAAAGTAAACAGGCGGCTGCTGCCGGCAAGCCTCCCTCCTTCCCTCTCCAGCTCGGCCTCCTTCCCGCAGCTCCGGGGGAGGAGGGGAATGGGCTCGCGCGCTCTCTGGCCGGGAATCACTAACTTTTGCCTCGCTCCTGTTTTGTCTTTCTCTCCCTGTCCCCTTCCCGCCCTGTGCAGACCATGGTGAATCCGGGCAGCAGCTCGCAGCCGCCCCCGGTGACAGCCGGCTCCCTCTCCTGGAAGCGATGCGCAGGTTGCGGGGGCAAGATTGCGGACCGCTTTCTGCTCTATGCCATGGACAGCTACTGGCACAGCCGGTGCCTCAAGTGCTCCTGCTGCCAGGCGCAGCTGGGTGACATCGGCACGTCCTGTTATACCAAGAGCGGCATGATTCTTTGCAGAAATGACTACATTAGGTAAGTTTGCTTGTCTTTCCTCCACGAGATGGGTGAGCAATGCAGTGGCAAAAGCCAAAGGTGACCCGGGAGTTGGGGGAGAAGGGAGCACACCTCTGGGAGTTCATGATAGCCTTCACCTCAGAAACCTGCTGATGGGGGAAATTTAAAGGGTTCAGGAAGCAGCCTATGTTAGTCTTCCAGTATGTGATGCCAAATTAAGGGCAGTGCTATACTAATACAAACTCCTCTCTGATGGGAATGGGCTGTTAGGCGTGTAATGGTTGAGTGTCCTGGACCAAAATTCTTCGTGGTCAGCCTTAACTGGACTTGAGGCTCATAGTAAGCATTTCAAGTGAGAGTGAATCTGCTCTGTTAAGCAAGATAGGGAATGGAGAAACTCAGACAAAAGGTTGACTTAAAAATAAACGTGTAGTTAGCAAGAAATTATTTGTCTGTAGTGGTGGCTAATTATGATATTTACATAAGCACCTATAAGCACCTATAAACTTTTTTGAGTGGAAAGCTGTGACTCATTCTTCATGCTCCTTGTGAAAAATGCTGATTATCCATCAGTTTAAAGACTTGTAATTCTTTTTATAGCAAAATCTAAGAAATAAAAACCTAGTGAAAGTGTTCTCTTGATACTGTTAACTGGAGAGGCTTGGTATGCTCAGTGTTAGTGTGTGGTTTGTGATGTCGAATTTGCAGGTTTTTCATGTGAAGAGTGTTCAGGTTTGGGTTTTTCCGTTGTCCTCATTTGTAGCACTGCCCTTGATCCCTAAAAGAGATTTAGAAAAACAGGCTATAGATTATACTAATCTTGCATTTTAAAGCATTGTATAGGAACATTCATATGTCCATGTAAGCAAGCAATCTTTTTCAACAAGTTTCAGTGCAATTAATGGAAAGAATTCAGAAGGTCAGGTGCCTATAGGATCTTTTCAGGTGAACTCAAGCTACTTAAACTCATTAATTTGAAAGGAGGCATTTGAAGGATTACACATTTAATTTGAGTAAATGGTTTGATAGACTGATGCACATGAATGCTTCTAGGAGGTGTTCTGTTTCAACATCCAGTAATTAAAAAAAAAAAAAAAACCACACGCACAGTGCTGGTACTAGAGAACCACACACTTTCAAGAATTTCATTCTGTTTGCTTTCCTCTTTAAACCTTCTTTCTCATAGGGACTAATAGAAAATTTAATTCTTTCTTCAGCATGGGTAAATCAGCATGGGTAAATGACATATTTTGTTCAAAGTTTAGCTCCATTGTGATTCATCTTACCCTGCGGCTGATACTGCAAAAAAGATCCCAGTACAGTTCAGAGATGACTGGGTATGTTTACCCCAGTGATACCATTAGTGCAAAATGGTGGAGTAAAATGACCTTTGGTTATTCTGATAATGCAGCCTCTATCCACTCTGCTGGCGTCCTCAATCAGTCAAGTTAAAGAAATATAGGAAGGGAGAGGGCTTTTATTTTTAAATTAAGATGGCTGCATTAATTTCACTAAGTGTTCTTGTAGAAGTAAATGTTGGAAAATCAGCAAGAGCATGGGTGTAATGCTTTCTGGTCCTCCTTCCAAGCAATGCCACAAGCTTTGGCAGTATTGTAATTAAATAGAGAGCAAAACTGTGGTAAGAAAGGAAGGTGGGTTGAAGTGGAAAAACTGACAGTGCAGTTAAAATTGGGTGAATGGTATGGTTTGATCTCTCCTAGTGCCTTCCAAAAAAGAAAAGGAAAACAACCTTCACTTCTGACTACCACTAATTAAAAAGAAGATGGGTCCACTTGCATTCCCTGGGGACAAGTTTAGGCAACTGGCTTGCTGGGAATCTAAATCTAGTCCATTCTTTTCCCTGTTCTTGGGGCCAAAATATAAATGTCCATTTAGTGCATGGCAGAAAAGAGGATGTATGCCCAGCCTTGAGCCTTAATTAATATCAGGTCAGTCCACA